TGAATTTTTTTTTTAAACGTTTTCTTTTACACATTCTATAATCCCTCTACAATCCATTGCTTCTCTACAGTGCATAGTGCTTCAATGGACACGAAATAGCTTGGCATAATAGGTACAAGGGACAATGACGAGGATATAACCCAGCAGTGGAGACAGCGTGGTTGGGACATGGGTATGGCCACAGCACCTTACATTTTCTATTGTAACTGAGATGAAGTCCCACAAGACCAAGGAGGCATTTTCAATGGCCTGCCTTAACTCTCGATAATCCCTGTGGCTACCTTCACACACTTTCCTACACCAGCCAACAACACCCCACCGCACAAAAAACAGAGCAGATCCTGACCATGCGTGCAATTTATCACGAGGGAAGTATTGAAAGCCAGGAATTTTCCTGGCACCGCTGCCCGCTTTGGTGATGAAATTCCAGGCCTACGACTCCAAATGTTGGGCATGCCAAAGCAACTGGAGAACAGCATGGCACAGTGACAGCACTGAATGTGCACACACAACCATATCTCCTCACATGAAGGTCACTCCAGTGGAGAACAGCCAAGAGACACTGGAGAGAAAGTAGCGAAGACTCCCAGTTACAGAGTGCCATCCTGAAGACGCCCCCATATCTCATCTTTCTGTCTTCTCTTAGTCAGCCAATCCTCTATCCATGTTAATATACCTCCAACACCATGGTCTCTCATCTTACTTACATAGCCATATGCTTGGTACCTCATCAAACACCTTACGGAAAAGCAAATATTTTACACTGGCAGGTTGCCCCTTATCTATTCTGCTTGTTACCTCTTCAAAAGAATCCTAGTTAACTTGGCCATCATGATTTCCCCTTCATGAGGCCATGCTGACTCTGCTTAATTATATTAATTTCCTAAATATTCTGCTATTATATCCTTGATAATAGATTCTAACATTTTCCCAATGAGAGAAATCAAGGTCCAAGATCTCTCCCCAAACTCAACTGCCATTTCAGGACAACTCAACTGCACTAAATTACTGTTGGAAAGCTCTCTCAATCAGATAAACATGTGGGGGTTAAAGATCACAATTCAAGCTCAGGATCCAATTACAAGAAACTTGGTTTCTCTTAGACTGGCTGACACCATCTGAAATGCAACCAATCGGAGTGCGGAGCCATCACCTCCTGCTCTCCCTCATGAAGGGTGCACTTTTTGTTCTATATTCTCCAGCGTACATACCACCTAAAGCTGCTATCCCTCCAGCGGCTGGGCAAACAAGGTTTTACGGCACTGTTTAGGGTTTCAACACAAAGAAGGGAGAACTTTCAGTTTGGTCAAAAGAGCTTAAAATTCAAGCTCTCTCTCCATTTCTGTCTCCATGCCAATTTGCACTGAGTGCAGTAACAGTGGTTGATTCACTAACTGCTGGAGTCCGAAACTACAGGGTATAAGTTTAAGGTGAGGGGGTAAGATTTAGAAGGACCTAAGGAGCAACATTTTCATGCAGAGGGTGGTGCATGTATGGAACAAGCTGACAAGGAAGTGGTGAAGGCTGGTACAATTATAACATTTAAAAGGCATCTGGATGGGTACATGAATAGGAAGAATTGAGAGGGATTTGGGCCAACGCTGGCAAATGGGACTAGATTAATTTAGGATATCTGGTCGGCATGGATGAGTTAGACCAAAGGGCCTGTCTCCATGTTGTACAGCTCTATGACTCTATCTGCTTTATACTCCTGTTGAATTTGAAAGTTCTGCCCGAGCACAGCTCATCACATCACTCTCAGAAAGAGAAAAATGCCTTCTTTGAAGATTAGACTCTCCTCTGACCGCCATCTCCATTTGCTAAGGCTTGTTATCAAACTGTGAAAATCAGAGACAACTTGTTGTTTTATTCACTCATGAGACATGGGCATCACTGGATGGTCAACATTTATTGCCCATCCATTGCTACCCTTTGAGAAGGTGGTGGTGAGCTGCCTTCTTGAACTGCTGCAGTCCATGTGCTGTAGGTTGACCCACATGTTCTTGTTAGGGAGGGAATACTGTTGGGGAGGGAATTCCAGGATTTTGACCCAGCAACAGTGCAGGAATAGCAATATATTTCCAAGGCAGGATGGTGAGTGGCTTGGAGGGGAATTTGGAGGTGGTGGTGTTCCCATATGTCTACTGCCCTTGTCCTTCTAGACGGAAATGGTCATGGGTTTGGAAGGTGCTGTCTGAGGATCTTTGGTGAATTTCTGCAGGGCATCTTGTAGATAGTACACACTGCTGCTACTGAGCATCGGCAGTGGATGCTTATCGATGTGGGGCCAATCAAGCAGGCTGCTTTGTCCTGGACAGTGTTAAGCTTCTTCAGTGTTGTTGGAGCTGTACTCATCCAGGCAAGCGGGGAGCATTCCATCATACTCCTGACTTGTGTCTTGTAGATGGTGGACAGGCTTTGGGGAGTCAGGAGTTACTTGCCTCAGTGTTCCTAGCCTCTGACCTGCTCTTGTAGCCACTGTGTTTATGTGGTTAGACCAGTTCAGTTTCTGGTCTAGAAATTGTCTGCTTCCTAACTTATCCACACAAATCAGGACACCCCAGGTTTCTACCAAGTGAACACTCAGGTACAGCACTGAGATTGAACCTGGTATTTCACGATAGGATAGGAGGAGTGCAGCAGGTGACGAGGGGAGTTGGCGAGATAGAAATTGCTCCTGATGACTGTCTAGCTGAGTTTGCGAAGGTACTTGGTGATCATCCTCCACTCTAATACTGTGGTGGGAGACTAGCCCAGTGACAACCATCCCCAATACGATTGACAGACACATGAGCAAAGTCCCGAGACAGAAGGAAATAGGGGAGGAGGGGATGAAGGGATTACAAACTGAGCACGCACGGTTCTCCGACTTTAACCACAGTCATTATTTCATCCAGGTTTCAGTTTCCAACAGTGCTCCTATAATTAAGCACCACAATTGATGATGCAAAGATTGCGCAGATTGGGTTGATTTAATTTTTTTAGGTTCAAGGAGACCAGTTACGTTCAATGGTAATAATTAAATACTGCACAATAGGTGCCTTACCCTTATGTATTCCAACCAATGAGTTGAATCAATATTTGACAGCCACTTGGCCTCATCTATCACAGGGTAAACGACATCCTTCAGTTTCCTGAGAGACTCCCTCATGACGTGGATGTTATGGATTTCCAAGAATATCAGCTCAGCGTTTGAATAGGCGGATTCACTCTCGTAGCCTCCACCTTTTGCCTATTAGATAGTGGCGATTATGCAAATATCATTGGAACAGGAAAAACATAAAGACAAGACTCAATGCATGACCACAGCAGCTAAGCATACAGCATGAATATTACAAAGAGCTGAAATTCTACTTCAGTTAATTGCCCTACAAAATTGGTTTAACTCAATCAGTCGGTTCACAACGCAGAATGACACCAACAGTACAGGTTCAATTCTCAAACTGGCTGAGGGCATCGTAAATAATTCTCTTTCTCAACCTCTGAATTTGCTGCAGTGGGTTAAAGATTTCTAAGTTTGCAACCACATTTTTTTTGAAAACAGTCTATTTACAGCCACTTTTATTGCCTCATAACATGACTTCCATAGAAACAGAGAAAACAGGAAGTGGAGTAGGCCATTCAGCCCTTCAAACCTGCTCCGCCATTCAGTATGATCATGGCTGATCATCCAACTCAGACCTCTTTTCCCACTTTCACCCCAACATCCTTTGATCCCTTTAGCTCTAAGATCTATATCTAACCTCTTTGTGAAATCATTCAATGTAATGGTCCCAACCACTTTCTATGACAGAGAATTCCACAGACTCATTGTTCTCAGGATGAAGAAATTTCTCCTTATCTCAGTCTTAAATAGTCTACCCTGTATCCTTAGACTGTAACTCCTGGTTCTAGACTCCTGAACGAACAACAGCATCCTTCCTGTGTTTACCTTGTCTCCTCCTGTTAGAATTTTATAGCTTTCTATGACAGCACCGCACCCCACCCCACCCCCGTCATTCTTCTAAACTCCAGTGAATATAGTCCTAAAGGATCCAGTCTCTCCTCATATGTCCATTCAGCCTTCCCATGAACCAGTCTGGTTCACTGCACTCCCTCTGAAGCCAGAACATCCTTCTTCAGAGAAGGAGACCAAAAGCACACACAATATTCCAAGTGTGGTCTCACCAGGGCCCTGAACAATTGCAGCAATACATCCCTGATCCTGTACTCCAATCATCTCACTACAAAGACTAACATGCTATTTGCCTTCTTCATCGCTTACTGCATCTGTATCTTTACTTTCAGAGACTGCTGCACATGGCAGCAGACCCCCACCCACACACCCGTTTCCCAATCAATCGTCACTCAGGTAAAAATCTACTTTTCTGTTCTTCCTACCAAAGTGGATAGCCTCACATTTATCCACATGATCTTTCAACTGCCATCATGTTTGCTAACTTATTCCATGTGTCCAAACCACACTGAAGCGTCTCTGCATTCTCCTCACAGCTCACCCTCCCTCCCAGTTTTATGTCATCTGCAAACTTGGAGGTATTTAGTTCCCTCATGTAAATCATTAACATATATTGCGAACAGCTGGGATACAAACACAGATTCCTGAGGTATCCCACAAGTCCCTGGTTGCCACTTGGAAAAAGACTCATTTACTTCTCTTCTTTCCAACCAGTACCCTCTCTACTTCAGGACAGCGCTCCCAATGCCACGCGCTTTAATATTACAGGTTGAAAGATGCTAAACGTGACAAGCACCTTACTGGCGTCTGCCACACTACTTTGCCGAGCATCGAAGATGATTAACTTGTGACTCTGGGCATTGGCGTCCATGATGGTTTGTAAATATTTCTCGTCCTCCTTACACCGTTTGTCATTTGGCCCCACCAATGGCTGGCTGCATCGAGTAATCGTCGCTTGGCTTTCTGGGTGGATCCAAGACAAAACCTGAAGGAGGAGGTAGAAAGAGTCTTTGGGTAGAGCAACGCTCAGTATGTTAGAGTACAGCATTTGAAATTTAATCATTGAGGGGACGTGGGTTCCACAGGGACAGTGGTAAAGTCACTTAGTCCCACAAGCCCATTTCAGCAGTCAGTGGGACTGGGGCTGGAGTCGAACTGGGTGAATGCAGATGGGTGTTAGGGTCATCAAGTGCAACATGGCAGAGCAGACTTAAGGTGAAACAGAAGAGGGCCGAGCCAGAGGAAGTGCAATGTTGATACGTGGGAATCATAATTTCTTGGAAGGATCTGAGTTCCGAGCTAAGTTTTACTTCTCTCTCTCAGAGCGAAGGGAAGAAGACTCACTCAAAAGACAAGGCAAGAAGGACAAAAACCGATTAAACACACAATGGAGTAGTTATGATTTCAACATCAATGTATTAAATTATAATCACATGCATCTTCCAGATAATTTTTGCCTCGGTTGCAGACTCTTAATGCTTTACTCAGCTGCCAACAAAATGTTGGCACAGCTCAACTTGTAAAGAAGACTCTGAATAACACTGCAGTTTTCTATAAATTGTTGTGATTATGACAGTCAACAAACAGCTGCCTATTTATAACTAGCACATTCCTTTTATTTCTCCCAAACATTTTAATCATGTAACTGCCGTGTGTGTGTGTGTGTGTGTGTGTGTGTGTGTGTGTGTGTATGTTTGTCCGTTTTCCTGCAGTAGCATGTGTCTGTATGTGTTCAGTGTGTGTTCGTGCAATTGAAACGTGTGTTTGTGTGTGTTCATGTACGGGTGACTGTGCTCACTCACACTTGTACATGTTGCCTTTCTAAGTGCCTTGTTAACACCCTCTTTCAGCATTTCCATTACAACTGATTATCAGGCTAATACTCCAACCTCACAAACGTACAGTTATGTTTAGTTAATACTAATTTTTTTTTAAAAGAAGGAAACTACAGATTTATTAAATCAGAAACTGAGTAAGAATTAGTTTTTAATTTAGAGAAATGGAGGAAAATATACAGCTCTTCTTTAAAAAAAGTATTGACCAGAACCTGAGCAGCTTACAGCCCTTTGGTACTGCCTTTCTCACAGGGATTACACAGAGGCTGTTTCAGTGCTGGGTCTATTGCAGAGAGATTCAAAAGGAGGAGGTGTTTCTGTTGGACAGCCAAATGCAGCAACGCCACAGAGACTCAAACAATGAAACAAACTCTTTTAGGAACTCACTGGGATTCGTCCACGCGATCGAAATGCTGCCACTTTACAAAGGTCATCATCTTTGACACTAGTTGGCACCACCACAGTTGAAGGGTAAGTATCGCAGAGTTCATAGTTGCTGTTGATTTTACTGATGACCCAACTTTCATTTGGCAATCCCTGGATAGACCAGAAGGAGAGGGTGAAGAAGAATAAGAGAAGCAAAAGATTGCTGAAACATCAATTCAGCTTTTCTCCAAAGCTGATTTGCTGAGTACTTCCAGCATTTCCGAGGTGGAGGGGAGTGCAGGGGAGGGGAGGTCTGCTTCTCAGGCTAACACATTTGGACTTTGAAAGAAGTTTTAGTCACAAGTTTCTCACCTTAATATTTGGTACGATTAAAATAAATCTTATAAATTGTGTGCGGTCATCCCCCAGACATTTTCTCGTGGCAAGAACCTGCTCAAGGAACCTTCTTGCCATATGAGGAGAGACTGGATCGGTTAAGATTCAGTAATATTCACTGGAATCCAGAAGAATGAGGTAGGATCTCACAGAAACAGAGGAATGACTGGGGTATCCACAACCAGAGGTCACAGTCTAATGATAATGGGTTGGCCGTTTAGGTCTGAGATGAGGAGAAATGTCTTCACCCAGATAGCGGTCAAAACATTGAATGTTTTCAACAGTGAGACAGATATAGTTTATAGGGCTAAAGAAATCAAAGGATATGGGAGAAAATGAGAACAGGGGACTCAGCCATGTTCATATGGAATGACAGAGAATGCTCAAACAGCCAAATGGCCTACTCCTGCTCCTATGTTCGATGTTTCTATGTTTAACGTGGAGAGTCTGCGATGCTGCAGCTCCCACACAGCTCTGATGAACAGGAAACGTTCCTCCTTTTACCGTCTGCCACAGGTATGACAAAGGACTGACAACCAAATTGTTTGCCTGCTTTTATAACAAACCTTCCACGGCCATTATGTCTGGAGGTGGGAATCGGACCTGGAGCTGCTAGTCCAGAGGTAGGGACCTTACCACTGAGCCACAAGATCAGCTGGCAAACTATGTTTTTCTCTCGCGCAGGGCCAATCAGGATGCCTCCTACTTTGTTGTAAAGAGAAACACAACTGCTTCACTAATGCATTTCGGGAAAAAGGTCCCATCAGCCATACCCAGTCTGAATTGTACGTGACTCCAGTCCCATTCAATGGTGCTAACTCTTACAGTCCTCTAGACTGGCCAAGCAAGCTTCTCCACTTGTCATGGCTTTCCAAGGCCAACAACAAGAATGCATCTATGTAACACCTTTAATGTAATATCATGTCCCAGGGTGACTAAGGACGCACAATACACAATCCTTGCCAGGACTGCCCACATGCCGAGAACAGAAGAGGTACAAGACTGACAGCCCCAGTCTACACCTCGCATTGTGGCTAAACTGTGTAGAATTTGTACCAAAAGGTGGCCCACGTTTAAATAATATGCCCCATACCGAAGGAGGGACGACACATGGAATACGCTCTGGGTTAGAGGGACGTTGATGACCCACCTGTCTTTTATATTCTGCCACTGCATCGTATACCTTCCAGCCCTGAACTGGATAGTTCTCCTTATACTTCACCGCAAACAGTGGCTAGACAGGAGAAAGAAAATAGCAACAGCAGGTTATGAGTGGACACATTGTACCTCATCAAGCAGCACATTGTCTGGCATGTTAGCGAGATGTGGCTAAGTGGGAATCCAGATGCTCCTGGTGTGTTTTTAACCAGCAAATAAGAAGCAATTGTCAATGATGCTGAGCGAGTGATGTCTGCAGTCCTGTCTGATAGCACTGGGCCGGGGGGGGGTTAACTTTTTCTCATCAAACACTGCCTGCAAATCATACCTTCCCCGCACAGAATGCAGCATTTCAAGGAGGCAGCTCACCACCACTTTCTCCACTAACTAGGGACGGCCAGTAAACGGTGGCCCAGACAGTGACACCCACATCGTGCGTGTGAATTTTATAATTTGCACTATGTCAGCAGCTGAACTTCAAACTCTTTGTGTGTTAGCTAATACGATGACAAAAAGAAAAAAGGGTGTGAGAATATACTTTGATTGTAGAGTGCGTGTTTTACTTGCTTGGTTACTGCATGTGGGTTGCCTGCTAAAATGAACATAGCGGTGGGGAATGCTATACAGACACCATGAGTAAGGGTCAGAGAGGGGAGAAGTCATCATTGACAGCTCAACACACTGGCACCAGCAGCAGGAAGCAACCCAATGGGGAGCTTGGACAGAGAACAAGCAATGTTCCAACTTTAACTCTAATGAAAAGCACTGGGAAAAGAGAGATGGGTCTGGGTGTGGATATGGAAAGCATTCTGAGTCAGTTGCAACAGCTGCACCAAAACAGAAACTGCACCAAGAAATCACAGGCCTGATAAAATTCATGCCAGAATTCACAAACTGCAGTCATATAGAGACACTGCAAAGTTTCACAAGGAACAGTGGTCAATCTGTGTCAAATAAACACACATGTACATTACAGTTACCTACAGTCAGAATCGTACAGCACGGAAACAGACCCTTCCGTCCAACTCATCCATGCTGACCAAGATATCTTAAACTGATCTAGTCCCATTTGACAGCATTTGGCCCATATCCCTCTAAACCCTTACTATTCATGTACCCATCTAGATGCTTTTTAAATGCTGTAATTGTACCAGCCTCCACCACCTCCTCTGGCAGCTCTTTCCATACACGCACCACCCTCGACATGAAAAGGTTGTCCCTTAGGTCCCTTCTAAATCTTTCCCCTCTCACCTTAAACCTTATGCCGTCTAGTTTTGGATTCCCCCACCCTGGAAAAAAGACCTTGGCTATTCACCCTTTCCACGTCCCTCATGTTTTTATAAACCTCTATATGGTCACCCCTCAGCCTCCGATGGTCCAGGGAAAATAATTTTATTTAATATTTTCTGAAAAGAGCAATATGTTGCTGAAATCTTTCATCAGGACATGTACACAAACCCTCAATGCCTCAGCAGATCAGAGTCAACTGGCCAAGCCCTGATTGGCCTCTTTTCCCATAATATAAATTGTTGTGATGGTTGGAAAATTGGCATTCTTGCATTTGTCCTGATGGATGCAAAATGAAAAGTTTCAATAACATTTCAGCAAGGTTCAAGCTCTTGTACTACTGAGCGGTAGTCCTGTTGATAGTCAGCTTCAGCCTGCATTGAGGAAGGGGATGTTTACAAAAAAATGTTGTTTGTGAGGCTAACACTGTGTTGCTGTGGCTAAAACTGGGCTAGCCAGCACCTTCTATTGGATACACAACAGTCACTTAGCTAATATTTGTTATCACTGGCCACGGTTTTCTGAGAGGCTTGTGTAAGAGCCTCTTTAATAAACCACTTCTACTGGCAAGCTTTTCTTTCAGAGATGAACTGTGAAATAGGATGATAACAATTACTTGGTCAGCAAATGATTATGTTTTAAGAAGACTGTCCCAGGTTATTTCAACAGGACTACCGCTCAGTAGTACAAGAGCTTGAACCTTGCTGAAATGTTATTGAAACTTTTCATTTTGCATCCATCAGGACAAATGCAAGAATGCCAATTTTCCAACCATCACAACAATTTATATTATGGGAGAAGAGGCCACTCAGGGCTTGGCAGTTGACTCTGATCTGCCGAGGCATTGAGGGTTTGTGTACATGTCCTGATGAAAGATTTCAGCAACATATTGCTCTTTTCAGAAAATATTAAATAAAATTATTAAAAGAACAAAGGACAATACAGCACAGGAACAGGCCCTTCAGCCCTCCAAGCCTGTGCCAACACATTTTGCCTTTCCATATTAAAACTGTCTTTACTTACAGGATCCGTATCCCTCTATTCCCTTCCTATTCATGTAATCATCCAGGTGTTTCTTGAATTCTGCTATTATGCCTGCTTCCACCACCTCCTCTGGCATCGCGTTCCAGGCACTCACCACCCTTTATGTGAAAAATGTGCCTTGCACATCTTTTTTAAACTCTCCCCCACCCTCGCACCTTGAACCTGTGTCTCCTAGTAATTGACCCCTCCACTCTGGGGCGGAAAAAAAAGCCTAAAATCTGGTAAATTTAAATACCGACAACAGTAAACAGACCACCAGGCATGTGGGACTGCTGTTGTCTTAGTCACATGATACCGTGACTAAGGTTTCAGTGAGTGTTTGCAACATTTGCCTTGATTGACACAGACCTGCATTCATTTTTGCTTTCTCCAGCCAACTTTACCTTCACACAGCCGGTTCAGGAGCCTGAAAATCTCACAGCCAGACCTCGATGGAATTTAACTTGCATGGATACAAAAACCCACTTTAACCTGGAACTGAATTCAGCTTTTGAGGGGAAAAATGCAGCTGTTACTCCTCATCCTAATGCACTATGGATTGCTAATAGGTGATTTTACAGGGCGATCATTCCTGTGAAGCTAAATGATGGGTTTTAGCAGTACTCCTACTAACTCCCTTCAAGCCTGTGTTACAACTGGCTGAAATTTAAGGTTGGAAGCACTGGGGTGACACAAGGCTTCTGAAAGACTGGTTCTGGCCTTTCACTCAGAATGGGAAATAAACATTTTGTCTGTGCAATCTGTGATTGACAGTGACAAATCGTTTGGCAGCACAACATGTTCTGTCACTATTAAGCACTGAGCAGCTATTGAGTGTGTCACTGATCTCAAAATACAACTCAGTAAAACACAGCAGCTTAGTAAGCACTTGATCCCCAGTGTCCACTTTCACTCAATGTCCCCTCACCACAGCTCCCTAAACAATAGAATAATGCCCTTCTAGATTCTCAGAAATCCATCTGGCCAATTCAGACCCAAGAATTCACTGTACATAAACTGGTGCTAACACAATCTTTGAAATGATTCATAATCACTGATACTTTAAAACTAATTCTCCAGGTCGTTTTCTCCCAGATAGCTTAGGGTCATACAGCTGTACAGCATGGAAACAGATCCTTCAATCCATCTCCTCCATGCCAACCAGATATCCTAAATTAAACTAGTCCCATTTGCCAGCATTTGGCCCATATCCCTCTAAACCTTTCCTATTCATATACCCATCCTGATGCCTTTTAAATGTTGTAATTGTACCAACCTCCACCACTTCCTTTGGCAGCTCATTCCATACATGCACCATCCTCTGCATGATAAAGTTGCCCCTTAGATCCCTTTTAAATCTTTCCCCTCTCATTTTGGACACTCCTACCCTGGGGAAAAGTCCTTGACTAATCACCCTGTCCATGCCCCTCATGATTTTACAAACCTCTATAAGGTCACCCCTCAGCCTCTGACGCCCCAGGGAAAATAGCCCCAGCCTATTCAGCCTCTCCCTATAGCTCAAACACGCCAACCCTGGCAACATCCTTGTAGATCTTTTCTGAAGCCTTTCAAGTTTCCCAACATCTTTCTTATAGCAAGGAGACCAGAACTGAACACAATATTCCAAAAGTGACCTAACCAATGTCCTGTACAGCCACAACATGACCTCCCAACTTCTATACTCAACGCCCTGACCAATAAAGACAAGCATACCAAATGCCTTCTTCACGATCCTATTCTACCTTGACTCCACTTTTAAGGAACTATGAACCTGCACCCCAAGGTTTCTTTGTTCAGCAACACTTCCCAGAACCTTACCATTAAGTGTGTAAGTCCTGCCCTGACTTGCCTTTCCAAAATGCAGCGCCTCACATTTATCAAGATTAAACTCCATTTGCCACTCCTCAGCTTGACAGCCCATCTGATCAAGGGTCCACTGTACTCTGAGGTAACCTTCTTTGCTATCCACTACACCACCAGCTTCCAAACACTGAATTTCATTTGGACAATATTTGTACCCTGTTAATAAAATGCCGTTTTCCCAAGGTAAGGTAAAGATAGCCACTTCGTAGAATGAATGAATGCGTTTGTCTAGATAACGGTATTTTAGGCAGGATGGTACACAGCATATTGTACGGGTGACACATATTAAAAGGGCACTCACTTGAACAGATTGCTGTCTGATCTGATATAGCAATTTATGCTCTTCTGAAACAACAAAATCAATTGTTGAATTAAAGTAGTATTTTTTGTAAATGTACAGAACTATTTTGGACCTTTATACTTACTTGTAGATAATTTAAGAATAAAGAATATTTTTTGCAATAAACAAAAATCTGTTTATATCACTAAAGCTTGGGGCAGCTGCTGCCAAGGTACAGTGGGGAAAGACTACAGTTTAAGATCTTTCTGCCAAATATAACAAGCACTTGTTAAATGTTTAGACCCCCTCATTGCCTTAACGAAGTATAAATAGTTTTGCTTCATGATTAGAAAATACGTTTTGTTCTTGCAACTGATTGAAGCTATAATGAGGAACAAATTCCACTGTATTTTCTGCAAGGTCTGTCCAGACTGGTTTTGGACCTTTATACTTACTTATAGATAAATTATAAATAAAGTATATTTTTGCAATTTAAAATAAAATAAAGTAGGCAGAACAATGGACAGCAGGTTTCATATTCAATTGGAAAATTCAAAAAAGCAGAACTGCCTCTAGTCTCAGCCCAGACTTTCAGGAGATTGAAAGGGTGGTGTGGCTGGTGGAAATTAGTGAAGGTTTGTATTCTGGATTAGCATCCACTGGTTCCTGGCAGAATCCACACGTATCAATTTCAGGCAAGATCTGTGAAGCCCCACACGGTCAAATAACCTACTGGCAATCAGTGTTGAGTAAATGATGGGCACTCACTGGACAGTTGCTGGAGCCCAGGGGAGGGTAGAGAGGGAAGAAGAGAAGCCCAGAAATGGACAAGTTGATTAAGTCAACAATCTACTAGCTGGATTTCTCTGCAGAGAGTTGGCACAAACAGCTGAGAGGCCTCGTTCTGTACTGTAATGACGCATTGACAGCAACATTAACTCTGTGTAACAGTGGTGCAGATAAAAGTGTTCTCAGCAGCTAGCCTTCAAACAAGTGCAGAAGACACAGCTGTGACTTGCAACCTTCTGCCAGTATACTGTCAATTGTACAATACAAAGAACTTTGCATTCAAATTATAATCAGCAATTTACTTTATAGAAAGTCTCACTTGAGCAGCTCATCAGACAGCTATCAGCGTTACACTGATTGAACAGTTCAAACATAACACAATGCTGAGCACACTTACCAAGTTCTTCGAGACAGGAAAAGCGTACTGTGTTAGGTTCTCAAAGATCTCGAGTTTACCATGTTCTTCCTGTTTGTATGCAAACCGCAGATTTCTCATATCCTGTTAACACAGTTGGAGAATGTCAAGTCTAATCACGTCTTGACCAGAAGCACAACGACAAAGCGGAAGCTTCTGAGGTTTGACTGCATCAGGAAATGCTAGATTTCTAGGCTGAGAATTCGAGAAACAATCTCAAAAGAAGCAGAAGAGGAAACTGCTCTATATGATGAAGGCAAAACTATAGCTGCTTCGTCAATGACCTCCCCTTCATCATAAGATTGGCGGCACAGTGGCTCAGTGGTTAGCACTGCTGCCTCACAGCACCAGGGACCTGGGTTCAATTCTAGCCTCGGGCGACCGTCTGTGTGGAGTTTGCACATTCTCCACGTGTCTGTGTGGGTTTTCTCCGGGTGCTCCGGTTTCCTCTCACAGTCCAAAGATGTGCAGGCTAGGTGGATTAGCCATGTTAAATTGCCCGTGGTTTTCAGGGATGTGTAGATTAGGGGGATGGGTCTGGGCAGGATGCTCCGAGGGTCGGTGTGGACTTGTTGGGCCAAGGGGCCTGCTTCCACACTCTAGGGATTCTATGAATTCTATGAAGATCAGAAGTGGGGATATTCGCCAATGACTGCACAATGTTCAGTACCAAAGGTGACTCCTCAAATACTAAAGCAGTGCATGTTCAAATGCAAGATGGTTTGGACAATAACCAGGCTAGGGTTGACAAGCAGCAAGTAACATTCACACTGTACAAACGCTAGGCAGTGACCATCTGCAACAAGAGACAATCTAACCATCACCCCTCAACATTCAATGGTGTTACTGTCAATGAATCCCCTCCTATCAACATTGTTGGGGTTACTAAAGGCCAGGAACTGAATTGGACTCACCATAAAAACACAGCGGTTACAACAGCAGGTCAGAGACTAGGAACACTGCAGCGATTAACTCACCTCCTGACTCAGAGCCTGTCCACCATCTACAAGGCACAAGTCAGGAGTGTGAGTGAATACTCCCCACTTGCCTGGATGAGTGCAGCTCCAACAACACTCAAGCAGCTTGACACCATCCAGGACAAAGCAGCCCGCTTGATTGGCACTACATCCACAAACATCCACTCCCTCCACCACCGACACTCAGTTGCAGCAGTGTGTACTATCTACAAGATGCACTGCAGAAATTCACCAAAGATCCTTAGGCAGCATCTTCCAAACCCACGATCACTTCCATCTAGAAGTTCAAGGGCAGTAGATACATGGGAAACACCACCACTTGCTAGTTCCCCTCCAAGCCACTCGCCATCGTGACTTGGAAATATATCACCATTCCTTCACTGTCACTGGGTCAAAATCCTAGAATTCCCTCCCAAAGGACATTGTGGGTCAATCCACAGCAGGTGGACTGTAGCAGTTCAAGAAGGCAGCTCACAACCACCTTCTCAAAGGCAATAAATGCTGACCCAGCCAGCAATGCTCATGTCACAAGAATGGAATAAAAAAGGCTGCTTTTAAAATGGACAACAAGGCAAATGGACAATAATTCTGTAAAACAAAAGCGTGAGGGCACTGAAATGCTCAGAGGGACACTTCTTTCTGCTACAGAATACAATCAATTTATTTTATCATTTGCTCCACTATCAAACTCGCAACCCAACTCACTCACAGATTGTGGCTCCATACCAAAGAGCAGGACATTCAACCTCTCCATCTCTTCCTTGTGATTGTGAACAATCTGCAGTCTTACTCCACATAGCCATCTTTGTCAAATATTCTTAATACCTGAGACTAATAAAAATCAATACATTCCAGTTTTACAATTAATAACTGATCCAGCACTAATTGCCATTTGTGGAAGAAAGTTCTAAACCTTCACAACATTGCATGAAGGAGTGTTTCCTAATTTCATTCCAGAAATGTCTGCCTCCCATTTTGTACACAGCCCTCCTATTGCTAAACCTCCCCATCCAAATGCGATATGTTCTCCCCATCTATCCCTATCTGTTAAAAAATGAAAGAGCTGTGGATGCTGTAAATCAGGAACAAAAACGGAAGCTGCTGGAAAAGCTCAGCAGGTCTGGCAGCATCTGTAAAAAAAAAAAAGTTCAGAGTTAATACTTCCACAGAACAGTTTTGAGGAAGGGTCACCGGACCTGAAATGTTAACTCTGATTTTTTACTTCACAGATGCTGCCAGACCTGCTGAGCTTTTCCAGCGACTTCCATTTTTATCCCTAGCTGTGCCCCTTCATATCCTGAAAGCTTCAATCAAACCATCCCTTAACTTTCTAAATTCCAAGGAATACAACTAGCATTTGTGTGGCTTCCCCTTGTAATTTAACCATCGCAGTCCTGGTTCCATTCTGATAAACCTGCACTCCACTCCCGCCAAAGCTTTTGAAGGCGCTGTGCCTACAATTTCTCACAGAGCTCCCTGTGTGATGTGTTGAGCACTTTGTGAAACTGCTCCATGGGTTCTGCTTCTTTTTCCGATCGCAAAAGTCATAAATAGTAAACGTTACCTTGCACACGATTTCCAAGCCACAGGAGTTCTCTTGGATGCCAGCAATCTTTTCAATACGACTCACAACCCCGAGTGGAACATCAAGGGTGAAAGGGGGGTCCTGGTTTATAAAAACAAACCTGAGAGTGAGGGACGGAAATCAGAGAGAAATGGGACGGAATTCCTCCTTCTACAAAAACAAAGGCCTGCAGGTGCTGGAAATCCGAAATAAAAACTCGAAGTGCTGGAGAAACCCGGCAGCTGTAAGGAGAAAACTGGGTTAGCTCTGCAAGTCCAGCAACTATTCACTGGAACACACTTTGGTCCCAAAGAAGAGTCAAATCAGACTCTTTAGAAGTTAACTTTGTTTTCCTCTCTCCACAGATGCTGCCGGGCCTGCTGAGATTCCTCCAGTACTTTGAGTTTTCATTTGGAATTTTGTTTTTGCGGTTGCTTATTTAATCTCTTCACAACACAGGTACTTATCAGCAGGAGTGGTCCATTTGGCTCTTTGAGCCTGCTCTGCTGTGTCATGGCAACATGGCTGATCTGACTGGATGAGACAACACTTCCCCAATTGTCCCACATAACCCTTGACCCCCACCATCCCACTTTCCTCAAACATTGAGAACTCTTTACTCCTTAATCAATATTCTCAAAAACAGACCACTGTTCATGATTTCTTTGCCTTTTGTGGAAGTTTACGGTGGCCAATTTGGCCGCTGCTTTCCATTTATTGAAACAACAACTTGCATTCATAAAGCACCTTTCACATCCATAAAATGTGCTTCATAAAGCATAGAGTCAAAATTTAACTCCAAACCACAAGACGTGAGGTCAACCAACCAACTCGGGTAGGTTTGAAGGAACATCTTAAAGTAAGAAAAGAAGAAACAATTTAAGGAGCAAATTGCAGGGCTCAAGACCCAAGCAACAGAAAGCATAGCTTTCCACCCTTCAGGTGGAAAAATGTACAGAGTTGGCACTTACCAGAGCGAAAGAAGTCAAATATATTTGATTTTATTTTAAATAGACCATTAACCTATTGGAAAAGCCACCGGAAGCTACTACTGCCTCACGCTAAGGGACATCTTTTGGAGAAGGATTTTCTCAGTTTCTCTTCAATCTTTTCACCGAATGGAATGTAAAGCCACTCCCAATATGGATGGATCTGTCATCAACAATCAGTGCAAACTCCCAGCACGTTCACAACACGTTTTTTATAACCAAAAAGACAGGGGTGAAGACTGCCCTGGTGTATTAAAGTATAAGGAGCATACACCATCAGCACTGTTAAACTTACCCGCTCCACACTTTTAAAGTACAGTTTGTATTCAGTGACAGTGAGTGTTCCGCTGATGGCCCCAATGAAAGGACAGATGTACGTGACGTCTTTGGCTGTGAAGCAAATGTAGATATTATATTTTTTTAACTCCGTCCATCTACTTTATTTCACCTGAGCCTTTTGGCTTAAGCAGCAATCCAAACTGCTGTACTCTTCAATTCAGTGCCTGCATGGAGACCCTGCTGTCAAACAGGATCTACTCATAAAATGCCCGTTGCATTGAAGACACACACACACAAACACACACAAACACACACAAACACACACAAACACACACAAACACACACAAACACACACAAACACACACAAACACACACCTCTGTCTTCACAAGGAGACACGAGGAAGTGAAGGGATTTTGCAGGAGAGAAAACCGGAGGCAATTCACAGAAAGGGTTGAACGGGGTTTCTGGAGATTAGAGGAGAGGGAGAGAAAAGTCTCACGGTTTGGGATCAGGAAAAGGCTAGAATCACGGTGCAGCAGCAGCAAACAGGAAACACAGAGAATGCTGGGATGAATCTTGTTGAAACGCTGGGGGAAGGTGGGGGTGCGTTCTCCCTGGCTAGAGAGTCAGTGAGTGAACTGCCCACTTCTTTTCAGGCAGTCCCGCCAAACCACGAGCCAATCAGGAGGTGGTGAGGGTGTGCGGCAGGCCTTCCCCCGGAACTAAGGCCCAGGGCCGGAGTTCTTGCCCACTGGATGGCTGCTGGCCAATCAGAGGAGCTGGCTCTTGTGCTCAGCAGCGCCATGGGGAACTGGTGGCTGCTGCTGGAAGAACACCCACTGGAGGAACGTAGGCCATGGTGGTTAAGTAGGGGATTATGCGGGATGGGGTTTGTGGGGTGAAGGGGACAAGGGATCAGTGGTGCAGGTGGCGAACCCCCTTCCCAAAGCCCAGACGCTCAATCAGACACTGCGTGTTTTTGATGGAGGGATTCCATGCCCCCTCTCGGTCCTCTCACACACCCCTTAACTGTGCCACACAGTGCCAGCTGTCACCATGTTGCATATTGACAGATTGGCCTACAATGGTTAAGTGGGTATTAACTGGCCACACCACGGCCTCAACTGGCCGTGGGACTGGAGTTCCGCTTTGGGCCTCACTGGACAGACTTAATTCTGGAGGAGGGTTCAAGTATGGCACCATCCTGCCTGATTCAGTGGACTTACAGCCACCAGCAGGAGCAGACAGTTCCACTAGAAGAGTCAGGTATAGCTAACGAGGAGACATCAGGAGCTGGGAATGGGGAGAAACTATTGTTATACAGACGCTGAAATAGAGACAGCAATCATTCAATCAGCTGCAGTTCCAAATAGGTTAACACTGAATTAGGAACACTGATTGTGACCAGTCTGCTAGCTCCAATTCTTGCTTTGACTCCTTTAATAGCCAACTGCAGAATAAGACTGCAGAGAGAGGCAAGTGAGGATAAAGATCTTGAAGCTGATTGTTGGGGAGCAGGAGCCACTGGAAGAAATGAGAATGTGTGACAGAGACTTCAGGCAATAGTGTGATGGGACAATACTTTGTGGGAAAGGGCTTAGTGACACGAGTTCTGAATTATCACAAGTTTGTAAAGTTGAAATAATTCACTGCTGTGCGCTCAAGAGCTCCACTTGTACGAGCTCTGCCGAGTACAGAAATGAGTTACATTGACCTAGAAATCCTGGGTTTGTTCTCCAGTCTGTACGGAGTTCACATCTCTCCACCTGCACAGAAATATGCCTCCTCCCTCTCTCTGAGTTTCCAGGAGGCAGAGACACAGAGTGCCAGGGATTCACTGCTCTCATTTTCCACCCAGCTGTTGGGTAATGCACACACAGAGCACAAGCTGGACACAAAACATCACAGTTTAATAGCCTGTTAATTCACACTTCCCCAGCTCACACAAAAGTGAGTGGATGTTTAAGTAAGTGCTTGAGAAGACAGGGATGGGGGCTATTGAAGAATAAACTAACATCCAGACACCGATCATTCAAGAATAATGTTTGATTACACAATACATTTAATCATCAATAATAAAAGATTCCAGTTACTGCTGGGCTCTTCAAAAAAAAATGACGTTTTACGAAAGTATAGTAAAAAAAAAACCTGGTCAATTATTGTAGGAACTTGGCTTCGATTGAGACTTTACGTAAGGCACCAATCTCAAGGCAAAGCAGAGGTAATTTTGCACAAATTTAAAACACTGGGCTCTCCGCCAACTTGCCTGTCAGAGTTTAGGGGCCCTGAAAATGGAGGCCAAGATGACTTTTCAGTCTTTTTTCAAAGGAATGCTATTATTCATTTTAGTCATTTTAAGCTTTTTTTTAAAACAAGCTAAGACTTGAAAGACCACTTAGAAATGTAAAATACAGAAACTTACCAATTGCTTTGATAGCTTCCCCTGGAAAAAGTGGTGCCTCCTCCATTTGAGCCAGTTTATTTCCATCCCTTAGCACCTGACAATTAACCAAACCCAGTTAAAGGCACAGCCCACCCATTAATCTCACCTTCTTTGCATATATTCTGTCACCTCTCTCTCTGTCTCTTCATAAAAGCATCTCCAGTGTTACCTAAATCTGTCACAGTTTCTTCCCAAATACCCACCTGACAATTCCAAAGCTATTTCAGAAAATTCAAATTAAAATCACCCCTTCCTTTCGTAGTTCAGATTAATCTGAAACAGTAAATCCTCTACAAAATAAATAGGGAATTAAAACAAACGCTTCATGGCAGATTGCTAGGAAACAATGGAATGCATGTTTTCCTTTGTCACAGCTTTCAGGCCATCAAACAAAGGCAGTTTAGAATTAACAGCCATATTTTTGGCTTTATCCTGGGATATTTTCCTCCACCCCCACCTCACTAAGCTAAAGTCCACATTCCCCTTGATTTATTTAACAGGTTGACTGCTGCAGTTTTAGTGTGCAACTCTTTCAGTTTGCTACCTTACCAACAGACTATTCTCTTGTTTCTGATAGGGTGACCAGACTTTCAAACGTCAAAACTGGGACACAGCGAGAAGCCATGGAAGGAGGTTTGGCACGTTGGCAAGCCAATGTTCAGGAGGAAGGGCAGCTGAAGGTGGGAGGGTCTGGAGATGACATCCCTGGGACTATGTCCCAGAGTAGACAACCCTGCTGTAGAGATCATTTAAACGGTGTCAACGGAGGTGGGGCTATCAGCATCAACAAGAGCAACCAATCAGCTCTGATGAAGAGTCATCTAGTCTCAAAACATTAGCTTGCTCTCTCTTCACCGCCACTGCCTAACCTGTTGTAATTTGCTGCATTATTTTGCTATCAGTATCGATACCAGCATCTGTAGTAATTTGCTTCTAGATGGCAACAGCTCTCTGGGAGACAAGGAGGGTACAAATGCTGGGAGGGGTACAGGTCTGCTGCATTCAATGAAATATTATTTGACAGGTAGAAGGACAAAATTTCACAGAAATGTCCTCCTTCAACAAAATAAAGGTGGAAACTGGGGCATTTGAACTACTGTTAGGAAGCTGTCGGGACTCGAAGTACATTTGTTGAAGATCAGGGACTGTGCTGGAGAAAGCAGGCTGTCTGGTCACCCTCATTTCTGATCATTAACCTTATTCTGTTGATGATGGATGATTGCAGTCTGTTCTGCGGATACAGCACAGTATAATAAAACATCTTGAATGAACATAGTGCCTGCAGTAATTTAGCATAACTGGATTAACATTAAACATGCTTTTGCGTGGTACAAATGCAGATAAACAGCCAATCCCTCATAAGCACAGCATGAGCCTTTTCATTCCTGCCTTAGTGGTGTAGAATTCCATTACAGAGCAGCTCAATTACTCCATTAGACCAAACTAATGAATTAACCTCACTGAAGCATTTTATTGCAATATATGCACATTCCATTTCACAAACATACGTATTTATATAATGCATTGTTAGAAAGCACTGCACAGTTGATGATTTGTTTTAGTAACACTGTGGAACACTGCTAATCTGAATCCTGTACATTCAGCAATCTGAACTGACAGTTTGCTTTGTAAACAGCATCAGGATTGGATACGGGCTCCAGTATGTTTTTTTTAAATTGAACACCAACCCCACCCAATCAAAAAAGAATGATTGTCTTTACTGTTGATTTTATAGTGACTGTCAAGCCGAGAGGCACAGATCACAAAATACAGTAAGTGGCAAAAATTTGTGCAGTACAAATTCAGATTAGCACTGTCCTGCTGAATCATGCAACACAGAACGGGTACTTTTGATCCGAGATGAGAGGGAGCAGTTTGCTTACATGGATTTTTGTTTTGCTTTGAAAACCAAAATACCTGCATGCAATTCATTCATTGGTAGGTGCTGGTTAGCTGAAGTCAGCTACAGGTTTAAAGGGAGTGGTGGGGAAGAAAAAAAATCACATATTTTCAATAAAGAGAAAGATCACTTGCCAAGGATTGTACACCCAGTTTAGGGTCAGCATCAGAATGGGAGGACCCATTGCAGCCATCCTGCTTGTCCTGCAGATCAACGTCAGCAGTTGGGGGGGGGAAGCAGGGGAGCATGCACAAGGTGAGAGGTAACATATGTTACAGTTTACTGACGTGCAAACACTACAGCAAAAGGAAGAGCTAGTACACATTGGGGAGCAATTTTATAGATCTTTTTTCAAAAAAATGGAAGGAAAAAAAGTACATTTTACACAGAGTTAAACAAAAACAAGCATTTCAATTCAATGCAACAAAAAAAGTTTTGACAGCTCACATCTATCGACTAAAATCAATAATGTTAATGGGAAACAGCATGAAAAGTAGAAATGGAATGAACCAGGTCTCTGTCTTTGTGCTTTGGAACTGGTGGCATGTGCCTACAGGCTCTGTTTGAATACTGGGACTCAGGGTTTCTCTTTAGCTGTTTCATGACTGCCCTGCTATGAGATGTGTCAGGATTCAGCATGAGGGAGTCAACATGGTCCACAAGATCCAGATCCAGTGCCGGAATTTGCTGATTTCCAAACAGTGGACGAGGACTGGAAAAGTGACACCAGAGGGCTGGTCAAGTTGTTCTAAAACCTGGACACAGAATCCAGAGTCAGGATTCGGTCCTTTCTTGTAAAGAACTTAAGGATGAGAAATGATGCTAGAGAACTCCCTTGTTTTGGACATTAAGGGGGCTACGACCACACTGACAATTCAAAATTCTACTCACAGGCTGCATTAAATCTGAACTACAGTCAGACAGTAACATTAAAAAACTTTGTGGTTTTAAAACATTCTGGTTTTAAACTAAACGTCACAGTGGCATTTCTATGTTCTCAAGGTCCTCATCACAGAATAGCCGAACGTCTTACAATGCAGGCCATTCAGCCCATCTTCACTGCAGCAGCTCTTCAAACCAGCATCATTACCTAATGCCAATCTCCAGTCTTTTCCTCGTGCCCTTGCACACTATTTCAATCCAAATCACCACCCTCTCCATTGCCTCAATTGAACCTGCCCCCACCACACTTGCAAGTAGTGATTTCCAAACACTGACTACTCGTTGAGTGAAAAAGATTTTCCTCATTTCACCCTTGTTTCATTTGCACATCACTTTAAATCTATGCCCCCATTTTTCTGAAGAAGGGTCCCAACCCGAAACGACGGCTTTCCTGCTCCTCTGATGCTGCCCGGCCTGCTACGCTCCTCCAGCTCCACACCGTGTTATCTCAGACTCCAGCATCTTACTGTCCCCTGTTCATGATCCTTTTATAATTGGAAATAATTTATAGAGCGAGACAACACAGAAACAGAACCTTAGGTCCAACTCATCAATGCCTATGTTTTCCAAACTAAACTAGTATCAATTGTCTATATTTGGCCCCCATCCCTGTAAACCTTTCCTTTTCATGTACCCAACCAGACGGCTTTTAAATGTTGTAACTATACCTGCATCTACTACTTCCTCTGGCAGTTCATTGCACACACGAACCGACCTCTGTATGAATTCTCCCATCTATTCTATTGATCCCACTCATAATTTTGAGAATCTCCATCAGATCTTCTCTCAGCCTTCTTCTCTCCAAGGACAACAGTCCAAACTCCTTCAATCTATCCTTATATGCATGAGCAATGATGAAAATAATAACACTGGAATTTCAGCAATCACTTACTTAATAAAGCATTTAGTGCTTGAACATGCCCAGATTGCTATGATGTCTCATGTTTAAAGTTACAGTGATAACTGGACACCAGGACCACAGTTAACTCAGAGTGGGGAATGTAGTTCAGCTTCCTCTGGGCCCAATGTTCAGGACCCACCCACACCAGATGTGCACGTTGACATCTCTGAACAGGTCGATTAGAAAATATCTACAAACACCTAAACCCAAGGGCATCAAGATTGAATCTCCTCCATGCCCGCTATTCAATCAGTCTGCCCTCCATGATGTGTTTGATCAGCTCTTATCTTTAGGGCATTAATCAGAAGTATATAGTATCCCAGCTTGGCAGGTCCAGCACAGAACCTTCAGAAACAACAAATGCAATTTCATTTAGGGAGGAACCAGCTGAAAACTATCAAAAGCACAGCCCTCATCATTGACTTCCTAATCCTAATCAGCCAAATTCACCACGTCGACTGGGAACTGTATTCCAAAACCACCTTTCTAAAGGTCTGTAAACTGAAATTCTGTGACAACACATGTCTTTATATCCATTTCTGACCCACAAAAAGGGCCCTTTTGAATAGAGAAAACAAATTAAAGCAAAATACTTCCACCTTCCACCCAGACTGCAGTCCTTGATAAAACCCCACTTTTATCATGATAAATGCAAAGCTACTATTTTAAGCAATATTTCAACAGAATGTTTTGTTAAAACATCTTCAGTGCACCATTGTGGGTTGAGATGCTGAATTTCACCTTGAGTGATTCTTTGTGGAATAAATAGTTGAAGTTACAACACTGCTCATAATCACCTCCAGCCTAATTTTCACTAAACAGGAGGGTCCTACTGAACTGCTGATTGCAACAACAGCCAATTTTCAATGCTTCAATGTCCCAATCTTTCAATAATTCTACACCAATGTCGAGTGCAGAAGGGAAAGGGTGGCTATTATACAATGTGATTTTTACAAACTGTAACCAATTTAGGCAAAATGCTATTTTATTTTGACAATAAAGAATTATTTAGGTGTGAATCAAGAGAGAGAACATCACAATGATTGGCATTACTTTGTGCCATCCAGGGTACTTGTGCCACAGTAATCACGTCCCTACTCTGAGCCAGGAGGTCCACATTCAAGTCACCCCTGCTCCTGAGCTGTGTAATAACATCTCTGAATGGGTTGGTTAGAGGAAAAAAAATCTGTAAACATACATGTGGAGGGATGATTTAATAGTGAATTCCCTGGTATTGATAGAGACTTTGAAACAGGCTACCAAAGAAAAGGGAAGAATACCTTCCTGCCTAATGTTGCACTTAAACATCTCTTTCAAAAAAACATCGCAAATGTGTACATAATGTGCTGATTCTTTTAGAAATATATTGGCATGACCTGTGAGAGATAATCCTACAGTATAAGAAGCAGTTAGTGCATAATATTCACTGGTGATATTCATTTGAAGAAGTTGCCTCAATTGTTGTTATTCCTGCTCCAAAGTACAATGTTTTAAATGAGTTATTCAGGAGGATCCCAGGGCTTCAGGAGATGCTATCCATTTGAAAACAATCACCAGCACTGACTCTCCTGAGGAGTTATACAAGCACAGAATGATTCTAACACAGAAGTTATTTATTTGGCCTGTCAAGTCTGTGCTAACACTCAGCAAGAACAGTCCAGTAAGCCCCACGCTGAATGTTTAGCCCCTTCAAGTATTGATCTGAATCCCTTTTGTATGTCTCAGTTGAAGCTCCCTCCACCTTCCTTTTGAACATCACAAACTAAATCCTCCAGATATACTGTATAAAATTGTTTCACGTCATCTCAGATTCAATTCTTTCAACTGGTTAATATCTTATAGCGGTGTCTTCAGATTCTCAATTTTTCTGTGAACGGGAACGAATTCTCCCTATCCACTCTGTCTAGATGCTTCATGATTTATAACAACCTCTGTTAAATTTCCTCTCAATCTCCTCTTCTCCAAAGGAAGAACTCCAGCTTCTGACCTATCCATTTAACTGAAACCACTCCAATAAACCTCTTCTGCACCAGTCCTAAGACTGTGACACTCTTCCTAAAGACCGGTGACCCGAGCTGTATATTCCAATTCAAACCGAACTAACAGCTTGCAAAGGTGCACCATAACATCTTCACTACGCTACTATTTTTATGGCCCAGAATCCTGTTTGCTTTTTAAATCAACTGTCAGCTTCAATGATTTAAGGAAACATATATATCTCATACGTCCGTGTCCAGTTTTGCTGAAGAGGGAGCACACAATATCCTGCAGTTTTCTTGAGGCCTTTCATGGGCACCACAGGACCTGGAGTGTGTCTGCATCCCCAGAACAGTATTTTAATTCAAATTGGTAAACTTCCTTTAAAGTTTTGATTTGTATTATAGTATGTCTACAAAGGGCTGTTAATATAGTTAATTTGATTTATGTGATATTCATAAAAGTAAACCACCTGTTCCTACAAACACATTCTTACTCATTTAGAGACAGTAAGAGCTGCCGATGCTGGAGTCTGAGATAATAGTGTGGAGCTGGGGGAACACAGCAGGCCAGGCAGCATCAGAGGAGCAGGAAAGTTGATGTTTCGGGTCGGGACCCCTCTTCAGAAAATTCAGAGATGTCACGCAGAGGAAGTGTCACGCAGTATGCTAGTGTTTCTGGTGGGATTTTGGTGACTGTCAGTAACTGGAGAGAGAGAGGATCACCAGTGCATCCACATTTTTAGTGAGGGTCACAGAGCTCTCACAGTAGGTGCAGAGACTTCACAATTTAAAACAGGCCATTCAGTCACAATTGTTCATGTGGATGTTTATGCTCAACACGAGCCTCATCTGTTCCAGTCCTTTCTCCCTCATGGTGTTTAATTACTTCCCTTTAAATGTAACTAAGCTAACAGGTGTGGGTAGCATGTTCCACATTCTCATTATTCCTTGGGTAAACAGATGCCTCCTGAATTCCCAATTGGATTTACCAATTGCTATCATACATCTGCAAGGCCCAGTTTTGGTCTCTCTGTAAGTGGGATTAATTCCTATGTATCTACAGGGAGGCACAGTGGTTAGCACTGCTGTTCGCACAGGGAACCAGAGTTCAATCCCAGCCTCGGGTGACTGCGACTGTGTAGGTTTCTTCCAGGTGCTCCGGTTTCCTCCCACACAATCTGAAGATGTGCAGGTTAGGTGGATTGACCATGCTAAAATACCCCATAGTGTCTAGGCATCTGCAGGCTAGGTGGGTTGGCCATGGTAAGTGGGGAGGTTACAGGGAGAGGGTGGGATGGTCTTTGGAGGGTCAGTGCAGACTCAATGGGCCAAATGGCCTCTATCTGAACTATAGGGATTCTATGATTCTAC